GTGATTGTGAATCGCCGACAGCTCCAGATATTTAGCATGCCAAATATTTCACTGGCGTCGGCGACGTGTCGGCGATTCCCTCAGATCGCGTCTTTGATAATTCACACTGCGTGATTGTCACTCGCGTGAACGAGCACCGATTTGCCTCTGATTTCGGGCATTTGTCTGCGATTCCGCAAAACCTGTCGGCGAGTGAAAAATCGGGCTAAAATCGTGCTGTGTGAACACGGCATAAGAAAGCTGATGTCTAACTTTTAAAAAATGAAGGAGGGAGAGGGTAGAGAATGATGTCCCGGGTCGCTAAAGTCCCGAGGTATGCATTTAAGGGTTACCCCACCCCTTGATGCCACTGTAATGATATAATCAGTTACTCACTTCAGCTGTCAGCAGTTTTAATGTTGTGGCTGTTCAGTGTAGCCGGATTACCAATAAAGAACTTTTTTTTTTTTGTATCCTTTTTGATTTTCTTTAGCCTTATCATCAGTAGCGGCACCTGACCGTAAATTTAGGTGGGGCAGATTCTCTGTCGTAGCGCTAATATATGAAAAACATTTTGTAAGCGTTATATTCTAATCTCTGAACACATGGGGACAAAATTTTGGCAGTGATGTCCTTGCTTTATCCTGTGGGTGGCTCGCTAATGTTGATTGACAGGCTCGAAATAATGTTACACGCATAAAATGCTGTATAATAATTGCCTTAATATAGTATTTATCACCTCAAAATGTTGATTTAGAATGTTACAAGTTGTGGAGTAATTCAGGTGAGGAAAGAAGATCATACGTCTATTCTCAGAATAAACAAAACATCACACAACAGAACCATATAAAGGCTATTCATGTGAGCACATTTAAACTAAAGGATTTAATGTATAGCCTACTTTGTTAATTTGATCCACTACTCCACATAGAAAAAAAACAGACATGCCAACTATAGTTACTGACCTGATGCAGACACATAGCTGAAGCGGATCGATATATCGTCTTGGTGGAGCGAGGTTCACATAATGCCAAGTTCATACTGCACAATTTTTCACTCGCCGACAGGTTTTGCGAAATCGCCGACAAATGCCCGAAATCGGAGGCAAACCGGTGCTCGTTCACGCGAGTGACAATCACGCAATGTGAATTATCAAAGACACGATCTGAGGGAGTCGCCGACACGTTTCACACGATTCACAATCACGCTGTGTGCAATGAGTTCTGACTGAAAAACACATCGGCGATGACCTACAGCCAATGAGAGACCAAGATACAGGGCAGAGGGAAGTTCGGGGAGGAGTTATAGACCATAATATCAGTATTTTAATAGATATATGAACAATTATATCATACAGAAACAAGCACAAACATTTGCTTGCCCAGCCACAACATCAGCATAACAGTTACTGCAAAATTATTTACCTCCAACTCTCTTTGCAGAACACCCAATCCCTGTTCCCTGCATCTCCCTCCTGCATAATCTGTTTTTCTTTTCAGGGAAGAGGGAAGTTCGGGGAGGAGTTATAGACCAGAATATCTGTATTTTAATAGATATATGAACAATTCATACAGAAACAAGCACAGACATTTGCTTGACCAGCCACAACATCAGCATATAGGCCTACTGCAAAATTATATTACCTCCAACTCTCTTTGCAGAACACCCAATCCCTGTTCTCCTGCATAATCTGTTTTTCTTTTTGTCCTTGTAGCTGGAAATCAGCTCACAGACAATTTGCGGGCTATATATATATATTTTAAATAATTCCAGTCTCGCTCGAGAACTCCGGTCTGATGCACGCGGGTTCTCGCGTTATTTCCTTATCACTTCTCGCGTGTGTTTTGTTGTGAAACGTAGTTTGCGGAATGCGGACCAGACAGAGCTGTCAGCGATTCTTCCCGCGGAATTTTTTCTCTGGTGCTGTTTTGCGGTGTTAGTAAATTCACCACTAATTTTGAGTTAAAATATGTTGTTGTAACTTGCGTTACTGAGATTGTAACGAGTAATAATATTACCCAAATTTGATTAGTAATGCGTTATATTACTGCGTTACAGCAAAAAGTAATATACTACTGTAATATTATTACTTTTGTAATGCGTTACTCCCAACACTGTTCTTCCTATTGTGAAGTCATGCAATGTGAACCCCTGTCGCCGATCCATTGTGCAATGTGAACACAGCAGCAACTGAATGCTCCCCCAGATCGTCACGCAGTGTGAAAACAACGGCGATCCGACGAGTTTGAAAATCGTGCAGTGTGAACTCGGCATTAGGTAACGTGAAAATAAGCGGGGCTGTCTCAAATCTGCCCCAATGGCTCTCAATTAGAGCGCGCTGCAGTTCCCCTTTTCACCACAGATTTACGTTGCAAAATTGTGGGGCGCTGTTGAGCTCGGGAGGTCTCAGGCACCGTCTGCCCCGCTTAGTATCATGTATACATGCCTGCTAATGCCATGCGCGGGATTTAAATATATACTGCTTACTTTACGACTTAAAATAGTCTAGAAAATACGAAAAAATATTTGTTGCAGAATGCTGAACACATTTACAATTTATTATTGATTCAGTTTACATGGTCTATGTTTTGGATGAATATTTTGGTGGGGCTCTGCCCCACCTGCCCATATAGACGAGCCGCGCCTGCTTATCATCATAATGTTTTAAAATTATAAAAAAGTTTAAGGAGAATTACATAAACTAGGATTCTTTTCTTGGACTGAATTCAAATTCAGTTTTACAGTCTTGTTTGATCCCATTAGGATTGCTTTGGGATTTTGGGATTATCATAAATCAATATATTTGGTTCTTTCTGTTGCTGTAATGTTTTGAGACTGTGTTTAATGACCTTCACCCGCACGATTACCTTCTTTCTCCTTCACTTTGATTAAACCAGTAAATAGTCATTTTTATTGCGTATTTTATTTCTCTTCATTGCAGAGAAACACTCAATGTATTACATTTACACGGCTTTGTCCAAACCTGTCGATCTGCCGGGCATCTATCAGTTCACTGCTATGGGTCTGCTAGATGACATACAGATCGACTATTACAATAGTGAGGAACAGAAGAAGATTCCCAAACAGACCTGGATGAAGGAGAAAATACAGGAAGATTACTGGGAAAAAGGCACCAGGTCAAGAAAGAGCAAAGAACAGTGGTTTAATGTGAATATCGACATTCTGATGAAACGCATGAGACAAAATGAATCAGGTGAGGAACATTCATGCAGCTTAAACTGCATGTTCAATCTATCCTTTAGGCAAGCAATTGCTCCTTTCTCTTGGAAGTTACTACAGTGATCCTAATTTATAAATATGGAGATAAATCAAATTTGAGTAATTACAGACCTATTAGAACTGTGTCAATAATATCTAAGGTTGTAGAAATTAAGGTTGTAATATCTAAGTTTTTAGAAAAAGGGTAGCTAAGCTTCTAATTAAACATCTAAATAATGGCTATACTTCTTTACATCTAATGCAGCTTTGATTTCATAGTAATTATTCAACAGAATCAGCCAATTGTGTTTTGTAAAAAATGTTAAATACATACTGGAGCTGTCTTTATAGATCTAAAGAAGGCATTTGATGCTGTTGACCATCAGTTTCCTTTATCTAAACTAAAACTAATTTTCATTAAGAGACAATACTGGATAAAGTCATATTTCTCAAATAGGAAGCAATATGTGAGTGTATTAATGGCACTAAATCTTCTTACCTGGTTTGCTCTGCAGGGGTTCCAAAGCTCTATCGTGGGACCAATCTCATTTTCACTTTATAGTAATGATTTATCTGAAATGTCAAACATATTCAGATGTATGTGGATGATGTACTAACTTTGAGCTAGGTGGCTTATTAAGTCAGGTTTACTATTGAATAAAAAAATTGTGTTTTATAAAACAATTAGTAGAGATGAGGTGAGGAGATTGAAACTGTTAATGAGTTTAAATTTCTTGGGGTCACTTTGGATTCAACTTCCAGTATTTGTTTATTTGTCTTTTATGTAGTGTTTTATGCATTGTTTGTGTGTGTCATTTTGATTTCTGTTCATTTCAGATCTTCATGTTCTTCAGTGGAGACACGGTTGTGAAGTTGAGCAGCAGGGACATGAAGTGAAGTTTTCCAAAGGCATTAGTGAGTACGCCTATGATGGAGAGGACTTTCTGTCTTTTGATATTAAAGAGTCTCAGTGGGTCACCTCAGTTGATGCAGCTTTACCAACCAAGAGAAAATGGGACAATGTCCCAATCCTAAACCAGTACACCAAAGGCTACCTGGAGAAAGAGTGTGTGGACTGGCTCAACAAATTCAGAGAATATGGAGACAAGGAGCTCAGACACGGCTGTGAGTAAATGTTTTTGTATTTATTTGATGATATGCAGCTGTTATGAGGATGAGACTGATAAACTGATTTCTGTGTTTTCAGCTTCTCCAACTGTTCATGTGTTTGCAAAAAGATCTATCAAAGACAAATCCAAGCTGAAACTCACCTGTGTGGCCACTGGCTTCTACCCCAGAGACGTGACACTGGGCATTAGGAAATCTCACACATTTCTCTCTGAAGATGAGACTGAATCCACAGGAATCAGACCAAACCATGATGGGACCTTCCAGCAGAGGAAGAGTTTGGAGACCCAGGAGGATGAAAAAGCAGAATATGATTGTTTTGTGTCCCACAGAACCCTCAAAGAAACAATTATCATCACTTGGGGTAATTAAAACAGTGTAGCAAAAGAAATATCACTTGATATTGGACTAAAAAAGCTGTATAAGTTTTTGCTTGTGATATCCTCATTTAAAACTTTCTATATTTTTATTTTGTATAGACAGAAAATAGGCTACTCTCCTGTGATGATATGATTGGAATTAAGCCTGTTTCACACTGGAAGCGCATATATGAGTGTAAGCAGTGGAAATCGGTTTAGCTTGCTTTTTAAGCTCTACTTTAAATCATTTTAACATGCTTTTGTGTTGTTTGTGATTCCTGTCTATTGCGTGTGTTTTTTGTTTGTTAGTTTGTTTTACACAGGCTACATGCACCCAAATAATCAATAATCATAAATAATAATGTTACTCCTGTAGCTCCGTTGACATTAATCCAGTGGCTTTCTGAACACAGCATAGATGCACTGTGCATGCATTGACATTTTGTTCAGAATAAATATAATGCACATGTAAACGAATATGTGGAATAGATTGCAAAGGGCTCATATAAGCAGAACTTTCAGAATCTGAAATTGGATTGGATTCATTCGGATTGACAAAGATTAATGCTTGTAAATATACTGACAGTGTTAGTCATCCTTTTAAAACAACATTTTTGTCATTCCGTGTAAATTTTGATCACAAAAAATCAATGTTATTTTAAAAGGATCATGAATTGCATTTTTTATAATAATAAATTGTGCACTTATTATGTAATATTTTTACATGAAACATAATTTAGAAATAAATGGCTATTTTCTACCCTGTTTTTGACCCTCTGGTTTTAACACTCCATTTTAAGGGCACGTCTCCTTTAAAGGGTTAGTTCACCCAAAAATGAAAATTAGCCCATAAATTACTCCCCATCGAGGCATCCTAGGTGTATATGACTTTCTTCTTTAAGACAAATCCAGTCGGAGTTATATTAAAAACTGTCTTTGATCTTTCAAGCTGTTTCATGGCACTCAGCGGGTGTTGCATGCATCAGTCCAAAAGAAGTTAAATAAAAAGCGCCCATCCATAAAAAAGTGCCTCACACGGCTCCGGGGGGTGAACAAAGGCCTCCTGTAGTGAATCGATGCGTTTTTGTAAGAAAAAATATCCATATTCAAAACGTAATAATCACTTTAATCTAGCCTGCGGCAACAGTTGTACACGGAAGCAGCTCCGGGCTGATGACATATGAGGTCAGTGCTGCGCAATGCAAGTGAGTCTCGTGAAAACCAACGTTTGTTAACAGGAGCAAAGGAAGCAAAGTTTCCTTACTTTAGCAAAGGAAAACCAGTCTCCTCTTGGCTTATATCGAAATCCGACACTTTTTTTTATGGATGGGCACTTTTTATTTAACTTCTTTTGGGCTGATGCATGCAACACCCGCTGAGTGGCATTAAACAGCTTGAAAGATCAAAGACAATTATTAATATAACTCTGACTGGATTCGTCTGAAAGAAGAAAGTCATATACACCTATACCTTGAGGGTGAGTAATTTATGGGCTAATTTTCATTTTTGGGTGAACTAACCCTTTAAGACTTCAGTGTAACCGCAGCCCATGACCTTGAATCTTGTCACAGATTACATCTAAACTCTACATATTTACAGCTGTACAACTCTACACATGACTTTTTGCACTAATGAATGTTACTAAATTATAAATAAAACTGAAAATAAGTTTTGAGAGAATTTTATAGTAGGCTGAATAATGTGTTTGTGTCCCAGTGCTTTTAGATAATTGTTACTTTTACATTAGTATTAATTTGTTTAATCTGTCATGCTGTGTAGTTTTCAAAGCAGAAAGTCACTAAAACCAAATAAAGATGAGAATTCTGGAAGCATTAAAAAAAGTACCTGTAATCCAAAGATCTAACGAGTCTTATACACAGTATATACTATGTTGAAAATGTTTTATAGGGAATGAGTGACATTTTAAACAGACTGTTCAAAAGGCTTCTTGAACTTTCTTCCTGTGACCATCAACATTCAACATTTGCAACGTCACCATCATGTGCATCCGTGCGGTCAGGAAGTGGAGCAGGTACGCTGAGCAGACATGCAGAACGTGAACTCTTTCCACGAGCAATCCGCTTCATCTCACATTTGTCTGCAACATCTCAAATTTACTGATGTAATATAGTTGTGCGTGCATATAAAGTAAGTGTATTTTGTTGTTCTTTATTTAAAGGGGTCATATGATGCTGCTAAAAAGAACATTATTTTATGTATTTTGTGTAATGAAATGTGTTTATGCGGTTTAAAGTTAAAAAAACACATTATTTTCCACATACTGTACATTATTGTTTCTCCTCTATGCCCCGCCTTTTTGAAACGCGTCGATTTTTACAAAGCTCATCGGTCTGAAAAAGCGAGGTGTGCTGTGATTGGCCAGCTATTCAGTGCGTTGTGATTGGCCGAATACCTCAAGCGTGAGACGGAAATGTTACGCCCCTCACCATACTGTTGATGCCGTGTCCGGCCGGAGCGACGAGACAAAAACATTAAATGACAACGCAACAAAAGGGGAAGTCGTGGCCTAATGGTTAGAGAGTCGGACTCTAACCTAAAGATTGTGGGTTCGAGTCTTGTACCGGCAGGGATTGTAGGTGAGGGGGGGAGTGAATGTACAGCGCTGTCTCCCACCTTCAATACCACGACTGAGGTGCCCTTGAGCAAGGCACCGAACCCCCAACTGCTCCCTGGGCGCCGCAGCATAAATGGCTGCCCACTGCTCCGGGTGTGTGTTCACGGTGTGTGTGTTCACTGCTGTGTGTGTGCACTTTGGATGGGTAAATGCAGAGCACTAATTCTGAGTATGGGTCACCATACTTGGCCACATGTCACGTCACTTTAAAGTGCAGATGTACGTAGGATAAAAGTAAGAGATTAATTTATCATACAGATAATGTTATGAGTGCGTAAACACTAACTAGACTGACTGTGCTCATTTAGAGTGCGTTCTTTCACTGCATGATTCAGTCTAAAAAAATGCATTTAGAATGCTGCCAAAATTCAAGATATGGGGGCAGAAAATTTATATATTCATATAATTTCATATAGTTAATCAATATCACACGAAGAGTGACATTTTTTCGCAAAAATCACAAATGTGATATTGATTTTTGTCCATACAACAATTCAATAAACAAGGAGTTAATATTAACAGACTTACGTTTTAAACACAATATTGCCTGTGTTTGCTCTATTTCGCCAACAGAAATTATTCCAAACACAGCCACAGCACTGTTTTACGTCTCTGAGCAACATGATCGGTGTTTTCGTTACTGAATGAATCAACCATTTAGTTCAAGCGCAATGACTCACTAATTAACAGTGACTTGCTGCCACCTACTGGTGATTTTAATTTCACATTTAAAGTACCTTTTAATTTTTTTTTTTTTATAATTTCAAATATCAGTATTCAGCATTTTAGGATTAAAATATTATAACATTATTTATGCATTTGTAGCTGCAGGTGAAATGCATTCATGTCCTGCATTAAACAGTGTGTAAATAAATGCATCTAAACGCCTCTTCAGATGCATCTTCTGTGTTTCTGAATTGCAAAGATAAATTTTGTTGATAATGATTTTATTTGTTTGATAACAGCCCCAAATGTCTTTTATTCTAATTGACTTTATTGATTAAATATAAGAATTTGACTGACCACACAGAATATGAAGAATAGACTATCAAAAACTTTAGGAGTCAGCTGTCCACGGCCGTCCTGCAGCGCGACACACTCAGGAAAATATCATCTGATTATAGTTATCGACAAAATCCCAGAAAATATAATTTAGCCGTCCCTGGCTCGGTTGGAAGAGGTGGGCCAGAGCGCGGTTCAGTTATATATAGATCAGTGTGTGAGCGCGGAATTTATGATATGTGCTGCATGATTGCGTGAACATTTCTGAGCGGCAAAAGCGATAGATCTGTAAAGCAATATATTGTGAGAGGGCCGTGTGTTACCGCGTCCCAAACGACTCACAATAATAAATCACAAGTGAACAAAACGATGCACTCCACTGTGCTGAGCGAGAGCGCGTCTCTGCTGTCTTCCCGTGCTATCGCAAACTTCCTTTTTCCCACTTAAGTCGTGATTACGAGCTCGTTGCATTCTTTTCTGTTAAAAATAACAGTGGACAGTGGTTTGTGAATGTTGATGCTTAGCCTAAATAATTTGATCGGGAGCATCCCCTCCTGTGACCCATGGTTTGTCTGTAGGCCTATGTTTATTCAGAGCCAGTGATGAACGGACTTTCATAATAATAAAAAACTGCGTTAACGCGCGATAAAATAATTGTCGGCGTTAATCAATTAATACGTAACGCGATAATAACGCGTTAACTTGCCCAGCCCTATTTGATACACATAATTCACTGATCATCATAAAATAAGCTTTTATCTAAGAATTAGGTTTTCTCAACGATAACGAGGACAAGACAAAACAATCTGAATCTGTGGGGGGGGGGGGTTCTGGTTAGGGGGCCCCC